CAATCAATAAAGAACTGTTTCGCAAGATTTAACTTACATTACCTAATCTATATATATATATATATATATAAAGAAAAGGAAAAAGATAATATATTTATGTACAGGCATATCAGTGCTTATCCGGAAAACATTGATTCAAAACCGCTTTCATTCTGCACCCTATTATTCATTGTCATTTCAGTTTAAGAATAACTTTATGAGATAAAAACTCAAACAAACAAAAAACAAAAGCCGCTGTTATTGACATCGGCTGAATTATATAAATCACAAAATATCAAAATCAAATACTATAAAAAATTTAGATTTTTTCCGCGCTTACCTTACGCGTTGAATTTGTGTTCCAAACAGTTACGTTCGCGCTTCAGCTGTCATCGAAAATATTTATTTTCAAATCTTTGTCATTCTCGGTTGGACGTTCTCTTTCTTCAAACCAATGCGTTCCTTTGATATTTACTTATACATTTAAACTAGAAAATGACCCAGAATGCGCTTTCTTTCGAGTAGGTAAGCATGCCGGTATCCTTTCATATTGTTAATTGTTATGTTAATGTTCAAGTATGTCATCTAGAGAAAAATAGGCGTTCAACGATCGCATGCGGTTCCTGCAGAGTATTTAAAGTCAAATGTTTATGAAATCTAACATTTATATTGATGTTAGTCACAAAAAGTATTTTTTTGCTGGTTTTACAATTCTTAAGGTATTTTACTTTGACTGTGAAAAGAGTGGATGATGACTCTTCTAGACGAACAGTGAGCTTGCAATGATAGAGACCTTTTTTGACATCTTGGACAATTAGACACTTGAGAAAAACATTTACGGATGCGTACATTTTAGCACGTTTTCTAAGAATCTTGAAGAGTTTGAGTGAGAAAATAAATGTTTGTTTCCGGCTCCAAGTATACTAAAAAGTTCGAGAGTATACTTTTGCCAGACCAAGATACAATATTAAGAAACAAGAAACACAATATGAAAGAATTAGCCTTAAGTTTCAAGCATGGACACTAAGTTTTGGCATTTTTGTGAAGTCCAATTTATCAGGCATGTTTGAAAGTCAAATTTACATATGTTATGGCTATTTTGCATACGGATGCAGAGCATACGCAGGCGTTTTTCATTCGTGTCGACAATTATTCAAGCTCACCTTTTATCTCGCTTCGATGCAAAGGCACGCGCTACCTTTTAAGATGGCGCAAGGAACTGTGACTAAGGGGACTATTATTGGTTCGAAGTTATGGATTGAGCACTATTCAGCATTCTTCATTTGCAAGACAAGGCTTTTGAAATAGCTGTTTTATATATTTACTACTTTAAGACTCCTTGAATCCTTTTACCATTGACTTAAAAAGTTAATTAGCATTTTGATTATACATTTTGGAGCAATTTCAAGGTGTGCTTGTGCTGCAAAGATCTAACAATAGAGCTCTAACACGACGCCAATGAGACTGCCTTCTTATTGTTAAAATCTTGCCTAAAAATTAATCTAAACTGAAGTTTAAAATGCACATGAACCCTTCGACAATACTTTCAGTACTGGTTCTGCATAAAGTAAATAGTTGATTGGTAAAATATTTCTTGATTTGAGTGATGCGTCTCTACGTTATGAAGGTTTATACTTCCAATATGTTAATGATTTGTTAATTCATTTGCACTTTAAAAGTATTTGCGCATACCAATTCAAGTTAAACTTCTCCAAGATATGTATGTTTTTGGAAAAAAAAATTTGAACCATATTTGAATTTTTTTTCATTAAAGGTTGAATATAAGCCTAGAGTATTTTTTTCCATCCGGACACGCAATAAAAAATTCCTATCATAAGATTTTGTAAGGAATAAACTATAAATAACCTGTAATTAGCTTAAAAGAAAAAAAATACAGGCACTCAAATCTGTGTAATTATTTCTTTAAAAATGGGTGGGATTTTGAACGTGTGTTGCTGAGATAAACACGACTGCATGAGATCGTTCAGTGAGTTGGAATGTAAGGTAGTCATTTCCGGGTGTGTGTAGGTCGATAGAATCACTGTATCTTTCGAGGGAAATAATGACAAAAAACGAATAGTTGTGAAAAATTTAGCTCAACTAAACCTACCTTCAGATTTTTCAGTAAATCCTGAAGAATTCTGGAATATTCTTCGTATTCTCTAACTCCTTCATAGAGCTAAATACAAAAAAAGAAAGAAAGAAAGAAAGGAAATACTGATTAGGTGCCTACAATTAACGAACTCTCTTACGTAATGCTGAAAGTAGCACTAAAAATCTTCTTGACTTGCGCGTGAAAACTCACTCAATTTTCAACGATTTTTTTTCTTTTCTTTTGAAAATCTTTCAGAGGGCTGAATGTATGCTAGTTTAATTCCTAGTAGCTAGTGTTAGAATTTTTCTACGTTTGCGATGAGAGTGGTTGATATATCACTCATGGGTAGTTGAAAATGAATACAAGAAGTAGTTACACTAAAAAGGCTTCCTCTCCCAGCCAATTAAAACGCACCTGCGACAAGTTTTCATCCAATGAGAATGCCTCATCGGTGCACAAAAATGCCACGTAATTTGCAAAACACATCTGCTCCTTCCGCTCTTTAGGTACCTTTGAAAAGTGTCCTTAATTCAAAAAAATGAACACTCTAAAAGAAAGTTATTCATCGGTGAACATCTTTCCGGTTGTTATGGTAGCTTCAGAATTTCTCAAAACTTTTCTATCACAAAAACAACCTATTTCTTAAGAAAGATAATATCAAATTCAATGTTTGTTGTCAAATTTGGAAATTTTGAACAAAGAGAGAGGAAGAGAGAGAGAGAGAGAGAGAGAGGGCAGACAAACCAAACATCAAACAATTGCTTAACATGACTTAAATTATATTTAAATTAATCTTTGAATTATTTTTAGAGAATGTCACCTATCTATCGAATAAAACTATCAAATAGACCATTTTACTCAAGGTTGCGTGTGCTTCCAAATTTAAGGACCTTGACGGGCCACGATACCAGAACACGAGTATTATCCTCCATTACTATGAATTTTTTTTCGACTGTAATTCATAAAATTGACCATGCTCCTCTTTAAATATAAAGCTGGCTTCTCAATTTTACTGAATTCGCGTTTTTCAGTTTTGTGGCCCGTCAAGTTGGATGCGCACGCAACCTTGAGAAACGGTCTATTTTGAAAGGCTACAAGGTCCATCTTTATTCATAATTTAGACCTTGTATTTTTTTCGTTAGTTAAAGTTTTACTAACACATTTATAAGATTCAACAAAATAAGCAACTGAAACTTAAATGGCAGTTATGTTGGATGAAAGATCAAAAGCCGGAAAACGTCAACATTCGGTTTATTCATCTAACATGGTGGCAATTAATGACGTCACATGGACAGCCAACAAGTGTAGACGTGCTCAGTTTGAGTGTAAAGTTTATGTACTTGAGTAATAACTTCTTGAGAATACGATTCTTTGGTACATGAAGGATATAATCAGTGAAACAAAAAAATAATGCTCGTGGAAACGAAACGTGATTTAGACGCCAAAAAACGTAGCAAAATTCTAACCAAACGACACGAAGGACTATGAGAGCACATGGCGTGTTTGTGCGCTGCAGGAAGGCATTATTCAAGTCAATTTTAGAAATTAAGAGTGAAGTTTTTAACAAAAACATTACGGAAACTTCAAAAAAACGGACGGAAGAACACACCAGGATTGTTTTTCCTTGTTTGAAAGTTTAAAAATGTCTAGTCATTTATTTAATATTGAATCAAGTTAAACTGATAGGTTAATAAACTTAGCATATTTTTTTAAAGAATTGTTTTTAAAAACTTGTAAAAGAACACCAACAGTGCCTGTTCAATGAATCTTCATTTATTCTAAACTGACGAGAGCAAATTTCCTGCAAAGAAAGATATCGTACTGTGAGCCTTTGCTACTCAGAATTGGTCTTATTTTGCGAGAATGTTAATGGTTTTTTGATCAAGAGGAACTGTCGGTCGCGCAACAGAAATATGGATAAAAGAAAACAACATAAAAATTACATTGTTCACTATTTAGTTGAAAAAATCTTGAAACACGTTTTAAAAACTAGAAGAGATAACTATCTAAAAACTAGCGTGAGCTGCTTCGGTGTTTCTAATGAAACAGTAATGATAAAAGGGTAAATTATACACCGTGAAAAGATGAAAAAACTTACTGACGTTGCGGACGTTTCGGAACTTAACATGAGAAACTAGCGAAAAAATATTTACTTTTCTTTTTAGACAAGCTAAATAAAGGATAAATAAATAATAAATTCATTCCATTTATTTTTCTTTCATTTATCTTTTTTCAGTTCCAAATCTAGTAACTTCAAGGATGTCTACGGCTTTATTCACGGCAGTCGTGAAAGTGAAAGCGTGGTCTTCCATTTCGTTTGTCGAGAACTAACTCAACACTATTCCAGTTTCTTTCAGGTCAGCTCCATTAGTATAGGAAATCCCATGATCTTCTCGTACAATTTGGAATTAATAGACACTCGTAATGTTTTGAAAGTTCTTTAATTGCACTCGCCTAAAGGCTCATGCAATTACAAGAACTTTCAAAACATCACTCGTGTCTATTAATTTCCAAATTGTACTCGAGGTCGTGCGATTTTTTGTTTATAGTTCACTCAACAAAATTTCAGTAAAAATGCGAAGCGACGCCGTTCATCTTTGTCTATTTGGTGGCCGATTTTCAGTCCATCGCGCAACTGGAATGCATAAAAAAGATTAGTTCTTACGGCTTTAAAATTTTATTTATATGTTTTTTAAGTACAAAATGATAGAAAATAATTGTTTTGACATTGTTTTGGCCGTGTTGCCATAGCGACTTAATTCGGTACTCCTACGGAGTACAATTAACGCTATAATTGTACTCCTCTCGACCAATCAGAGTCGAGTAATTTTGTTGAGTGTACTATAAGTTATAAAATAGATACTCTATTAATATCCTTACCGCCTTTTAGTAAAAATACACAGGTGATTATTGAAAATCTCGCGCGCTTATTGGTCGATAAACTCACACTATCACACGATAATCACCTCCAGCGATATTCCAAAATGGCGGCTAGCC